CAAACTGAACGACCAAAACCAAATCCTTATATGGAAAACTTTTTTATTTGACGAGATATCATAATGAAATTTGGCATATATTATTGCCTGGGATAACGTTACAATCTACGAAAAAATTATTAAAATCGGTTGACTGTAGCATATAGCTACCCTACAAACTGAAGGCTCAAAATCAAGCCCTTATGAGGAAAACTTTTTTGGTTTAGGAGATATCAACACGAAATTTGGCATATATTATTATCCGGGATAACGTTATAATCCACGAATAAATTATTCAAATCGGTTGACTGTAGCATATAGCTACCCTACAAACTGACTAATCAAAACTAATTCTTGTATGGAAACTTTTCTATTTGCAGGSCATTGCAGTTTCGATTTAAGCGATGTTTACGTTTTTCTTGTTTTAATTTAAAATTATTGAATTGTTGTTGTTTTTTGATATTTTTAATTTTTCAACTTTGTAAAAGTAACCAAATCTTTTACGGGATGGTTCAACACTTCCCAACAGTGTTTGCCGCTAAATTTACTTGTTCGCTTGCTTTATAGTATTGCTTTTGTAAGTGCATTCCTTATGTTCTTTATATGTTTTAACGACATATCGCTACTGCCACTTTTTTCAAATGTTCACATAMACCCCACATGACACGCCAATGCCGCYGCCATCACARCTGCGCCGCCTCAAGTGCGAATGTGTGCGCCATACCGTCAACTTCAATTGGAGCTACAACAACAAGAACAAACACACCAAACACCGGCAGTGCGCTGSCATCGACACCGGAAATGTTAAGCTAAATTGTAAACAAAATTATCGTAATTTGGATATGAGGACAGCGCAGCAAGAAATGGTRAAGGAAGAGAACATTTTTGCGTGTTATTACAGCTCTTTAGGATTTCCAAAACGAGCGAGTTATTCTCATGTAAAKTGGAGAAAACGATATTTTTGCGCCATATTTATGACTTTTAGTTGAGTGAGTTACGTATTCAACGCATGAAACATCCTCATCATTCTCGAAGTTTGCGCAGAAATTGTGGTTAAGTGTGTACATATGTACATGTGTTTTAATGAATATAAAGCGTGTGCAGTCTTCTAAACTTAAAAAAAAAAAAGAGTAATGCGTGTAATCTATACTTAACATAAAATACTATATATATTTCATAACAGCAACAATGCGATAGAGCCATATCAAACTCTTTTTATAAACAATACTCTATAAAAGTGTATCCACGATAAGTTATGAATTTATTTGTAAGCAGCCATGCAATTTTCATACAAAAACATTTCATTTATTTAGCAGTAAATACCACATTTTAAAGAAAATGAGTCAAAAACACAATACATATACATATACACAAGGCATACATATAAACATACATATGTACACACATGCATACACACACACACACATATATATATACGAACAACTCATAAATATACGGCAAGTATGGTGGTAGTAATATGATATCACTATATATCGCCACTTATCTTATCGCCARTTAACAACAACAACAATTAACAAACCATAATAAAAAAACGTGTACATAGTATATTGTTAGAAAAAAATTAAATGCACGAGTGCAAACGACGACTGAAGTAGCAAAAGGTACTTCAACAGTGATTTATTTGCCCAAGAGCGAGAGGTTTTCTCAAATAAAWAAATTCTTCAAATGGCTTTAGTTGCTAACGCAGCTGATCGAAAAAGTTCTCAGCTGGTTTGTATGTATGAAACATTTTTTAACTTGCGATTACCTAATCATTCGATGAAATGCCTTTTCAGCAAATTCTAAAGTTTTGCGAAAGACCACAAAAATGTGGCTTCTGTTTAAAAGCGATACCAAGAAGTGTGGTCGATCGAGAAAGAATATAGCTAAGGTTAGATGATTGGTTCCACCACATGGCGGGGGATCACACTTAAACGGTTATGTACTGCACTTTTATGCGTCTCTTTATTTGGATATCAGCTACCGGCAAAGCGCCTTGAACCTATCATAAAACTTAGAAGCTTTATTTCTATATAAGCAAATTCTCCTGAATGTCTAATACTATGAAATTAAAGGTGTTGTAGCCTTGATCTGGTATTCCCGTCTGAAGAACAACAAAGCGCTGGTGTGCCGATGGATTGCCTTTCAATTTATTCAAATACGGCGGCGAAAAACTGATAAGTTGCATGCATCAGCTGCTTTRTAGAATATAGTTGAACGAAAGTACGCCCTACGGTTGGAATTTAAGTGTTACAATCTGCGTCAACTACCGTCGTATAAGCCTCCTCAACATTGCATATAAGGTTCTATCGAGCGTATTGTGTGAAAGATTAAATCCCACCTTCAACAAAATGATTGGACCTTATCAGTATGTTTGCAGGTCTTCAAAATCAACAACTGACAGTTATTCACCATACGCCGAATCTTGGAAAATGCCCATGAAAAGAGGACCGACACACACCATCTCTTCGTTGATTTTAAAGCAACTTTTAATAGTACGAAAAGAGCCGTTATGCCGTTTTGTCTGAATTTTGTATCCTCACTAAACTAATACGGCTGTGTAAACTGACATTGGACAATACCAAAAGCTCCATCASGATGGAGAAGGGCCTCTTCGAGACCAAACGAGGTTTTAGACTAGGCGACACCCTATATTGCGACATCCTTATCTACTGCTGGAGAAAATAGTTCGAGCTGCAGGGTTGGATAGAGAAGGTATAATCTTCTACAAGAGTGTAAAACTGCTGACGTACGCCGATGACATTGATATCAAAGACTATAACAACCGCGCCGTTAGTTCCGCTTTCTCCAGGTTGAACAAAGAAGCGAGTGAACGAGTGCAMAACGAAATATCTCCTGTCATCAAACAAACAGACGTCGTAAATAATTTCGTTATCTTGGGAAACCTACATAGAATAATTTTTTCTAACAGGTGCTACTTCGAACTGGGTAGGCAATTGAAAAGTAAAGAACTCTCTCGAGGAACAAATGCCAAATTTTACAAGTCACTCATCATCCCCGTCCTGCTACATGGTGCAGAGGTATGGAAGATGACATCCGATGATTCGGTGCTACGAGTTTTCAAGAGAAAAGTTCTACGGGAAATTTATGGTCCTTTGCGCATTGGCAACGGCAAGTTTCGCATTCGATGTCACGACGACATGGACATAGTTCAGCGAATTATGACACAGCGGCTATCATAGCTAGGTCATGTCATCCGAATGGATGAAAACACCCCGGCTTTGAAAGTATTCGACACAGTACCTACCGGTAGAAGCAGAGGAAGAATAAGATCTCCACTCCGTTAGGGAAATTAGATGGAGAAGGACCTRGCTGCACTTGGTAGCTCGACTGAGGTGCTGTTGTAAATTCGGCTAGAGTCGCGAAAGSGGTGTCTACGCCAGAAAAGCAGAAGAAGAGGAAGAATTGTATGCTCGTTGTATTATATTTTCAATAATCTTGAGCTTCTTGAGCGTCTCGATAAAATGGCATTTCTTCATTAAACATTACCAAAGTATAAAGCATCATATTTTGATGTAATAGTGCTTTTGGGAAACTACAACAGACACTAATGATAATTTCAACAGTTTATCAGGATAGTTAGTCGCAAAACTAGTAGAAATTAGAGTTATTATTCCGATCTGAAGAAAATTTAAATAATCTTAGCTGATCGCATCTAACATTAGATCAACAGTTCGAAACGTTTACTTCATTTAAAGATCTTGTTAAGATAGCAGGTTCCTATAAAGGTCTACCCCAAGTGTTCTCCAAAAAATAAACATCTCTTAAACTATTTTGATGTTGTTAAAGCCGACTAAAGTAGGAMGTCAGACATTTCTCAATCAAACTGGCTGCTCTTCTTCGCTGTCATACACACAACTTTGTTTCTAAATCCACTTTTGGAAGTGATCATAACTACCAAATAGAATATATAAAACAATTCATTCAGATCTTTCTTGATGTAACTGGAATTATTTAAAGTTCACCTGACAAAAATCCACCCCATCAATATATGCAAAAGTTAAAAGCTGCGTACAGCTTCGAGCTCCAGACCGCTATACCGCAYGTAAGCTACATATTTTATGCAAAAACAAATCTGTTCACACATTCATACAAATTTCTGTGCCAGTCTACAGATATACATACTTGTAGTATATACTAAAATTTTCTTGTCCGCATATTTCAAAAATTCAATCACTTTGCGCCCAAAACGCTCTAAATATTATCTGCAGCAATTAATCAATACTCACATCTGGGTGTGCTCGTATACACATGTCTGCAGCTAGCGCCACAATGGTCCACACTTAACCCGCAGCACCCTAGAACCCAAACAATTAAGGTTAATTGAAACCACTTCATCTCAAAAATGGTTAAAATAGTTTCATTTCGTATCAATTATTCGAGTATCGTRGAAAGGTGGCGGAAAGAGTAAAGAGAGGATATGAGAAGCAAAAAAGCAGCTGGAAAAATTCGTGCTGCAGGGCAAGCAAAGTATTTGAAATTTAATCGAAAACCGGAAAGTAGTCGATTAATAATTATGAATAGAACATAAATAAATTTGTAACTTTATCATCTTTTCATTGGTTTGCCGAAGTACTTTCTTTCGTAGATGATAAAATTGTGCTCTTAATTGTTAGTTTAATTATACAAAAAATATTTCGAAATGAAGCTGTTRCTCAAATTGATTTAATTTAAATAAAAAAAAAATTATTTTTAGTGCATGTCGAGATATGTTCACTGTATATTATGAACAAGATGAACGGACTGTTCTCAATCTAATTTAGACAGTTCACTCAGATTAAGTCTTTTTCTCTCAGTTCCACTCGCATGCGAGATCAACAACTTAACAGTTTAATTGAAAATCCCCGGTCTACCACAGTAAAACATATATTTTTTTTTTTTGGCAAAATTATTATTATTTTTGTTTTATTTAACATAGTTCCATTCAAGGGTGATACACTGGTTATAGCGACACTCTAAGTTTTYTATACAATTTACAATTTCATAGTACGATTTGCTCTTTGTTTCAAAATAGGCCGCAGTTTCGGCGATCACGTCTTCATTACGAGAAAATTTCTTTGCAGCGAGCGTGCTTTTTAGATCTAAGAACAGGAAATTGTAGCAGGGGGCTAGATCTTGAGAAGACAGTAAATGCGGTAGTAATTCGAAGACGAATTTATAGATTTTAGCCATCGTTTTCACTGAGTTGGTATGCGGTGCATTGTCTTTGTGAAACAGCACTTTCTTTTTTCAAATGCGGCCGTTTTTCGGCGATTTCGTCCTGCMAACGGTCCAATAACGCTATGTAATAGTCACTGTTGATGGTGCTTCCTTTTTCAAGGTAGTCAATAWAAATAATMTCAKGCGCARYCCAWAATACASACGMAATAATTTTGYCAACAGACTTTTGAGCCTTTCCTAAAGTCTAAAAATTATRTATTTTATTCTAGTAACGCCAACTACATATGTATGTGTCACGCCGAAGCTTTTCACGCTGCCATAAATCTCGTAGAAACCTTCCCTACCGTACTACACCTCAATAGCTAGGTTAATTAATTTCCTATACCGAACTTTTTCTTCATTTCAAAGCTTATGTGGAAATTTTACATCTATAAGTCGTTTTTTTATGTCATTGGCATTTAGAAAACAAAATGTTTAAACTTTTGTTTCTCGAATTTTAAACAATAACCCTTTTCATAATATTCAGATCTGAGTCTACATCAACAACTCATCAGCCCATGTTGCTTTTTGTGCCCACAATCACATCGTCATTTACAGTTTTAACCTTTCGTACCAGACAATAWGAAAACCGTTCTGTTGCAAGCCGCATCCCGCCTCATCCCACYACTCCCCTTAGCTTAAATGATGCCTTAAGTAACTTCGTGACTCATATCRTTCCCAGTTCGTTGTTGATGACGCAGATTTTGGTATTCAAATGGGTAGCAATGTATGTGTATATGAACTCGTGAAACCCGTTATTAAACGTGAAATTGTTAGTTAACAATTAAAGAAGAAATCACAAAAAAAAAGTAAAAGATAAATTGCGGCATAAAACCACTTGCGGTCAAAGACACAAAGACACACTTTCATTAGAACTAATTACGAAATTACACGATTTATTCATATGATTATAGRTACATATATATGATATACATATACATATACCGATGTTTTCATTGTGTCTCATAATTTTTTATGTGGAAAGTCTGTGATTTATCGCATTTTTATTTTATTCACAACTCCTTGCTTTATCAAACAAGAATTGATGATACAATTTCCCTGGCTTAAGCGAGCGAAAACTGTATATCTTTYTCTCTCTCTTTCTATCTTGTTCACGGCAAGTTGCACTCACCGCTGTCAAGCGTCAAAGCTTCACCGACCACTTGCTGAGCGGTGGTCGATGAGTATAAACGCCACTTCGCGCCTCTTTCCCCACACCCAGGTGACTCACTGCCTTACGGATAAAAGTGCYGGCGTTGTGGGCCATTTGTTGAGCCACACGCGTCACACGCTTACTGGTGCCAACCGAAATGTAGAAAAAGTTGAGTAAATAAATTTGGAAACCGTTTTCGTTGRCGTGAATTTAATTTATTAATGTTTCTAAGAATTTTTATGATTTTTAGTGGAAGTAGTTAATTYGGAGTGCAGTGGCTGGTCGAGCCGCTTTTCTTTTCGAGGTCTTTCTTTTTTGTTGGCTTTGTTTTAAAACTTGTCACAGCTGTTTTTGTTAGCCATTCGAATCTGTTCGACCTGCTCACGTTGTGTCTGTTAAACTGATCAACCGGTTGTTTATTATATGTCTGTATACTTGTGTATAKCTTTAACTACTTACATATATAAATGGCTAGTAGCTTGGTATGTGGGTCACTCGTGTCGCTGTGTTGTTTGCAACGGCTTTCAATGTTGCAACAGGTTCTTTTCTAGATTATGGATTTTATAGATTATGGTTTTTATGGGTTTAATTAAAATTATGTACTTTTTGTTGATTACAAAAAAAAAGCACACAAAACTGATGAACAAACGATTCTGACGGGAATGATTAATAGGGTCCACGAAAAAATAAAGAGAGCTTGTTAATGCTACGTGCCAGATCTTATTTCTTGTACCACAGTACGGATCTTACTTCATCCTTCGATAATTTGTTATCTGAAAGGCTCCTAATAGATGCTTCCCTGTTACGAGAGATGGCTGTGAAGATATAGCCTCTGCAGCCTTGAATAAAATTATATTTTTTTATTCTATCGATGCTTGTAGACAGAGGGATCGTAATACACTTACGAGTATATACAAAGTGCTTTCCAAAGTATATAGGGCTTAAAAAACAGCACAAATGGTTTTTTCGGCAAAATCAATCTCTCCTTTCTGCTTCAATATAGCTTTTTGCACGGTCCAAATGCATGTCGAACGAGGTATGGCCAGTATGCCGCAGCAAGCCTTTCGAATACCATCTACATATTTGCCCACATATTTGATATCTGGCGGCCGAAAAACTTATGATCCGTTTACGACAATCAGTCGTAAGATGGCTTACTTTTACCACTGGAAAGTTTGGGGCTCAGAAAATTCGATAAAAATAGCTTCAGTGGTTAGTATGTGGAATAACGNCTATCGATGCTTGTGGACAGAGGGATCTTAATACACTTACGAGTATATACAAAGTGCTTTCCAAAGTATATAGGGCTTAAAAAACAGCACAAATGTTTTTTTCGGCAAAATCAATTTATTTTATTCAAAATCTCCTTCCTGCTTCAATACAGCTTTTTGCACGGTCCAAATGCATGTCGAACGAGCTATAGCCAGTATGCCGCTGCAAGCCTTTCGAATACCATCTACGTTTGCCTAACGCTTTCCTGTCCTGGAAATGCATTTTTCCGAAAAGGAAGAAGTCGCACGATGTCATATCAGCTGAATACGCGGAGCGATTAATGGTTAAAATGAGATTTTTGGTCAAATAATCAGTCACGAGCGTCGATCGATGAGACAATTTTTGGTCGTCAGCCTCCTTTCGTAAGCCCAATGTTTGGTCAAAATGCGATAAATCGATGTTTTGCAGATGTTTAATTCCATTTCCATGAATTTCAATGATGATTTCGGCTGATTTTTGATGAATTCACGGATAGTTTCGATGGAATTTCCGATGATCACGGATATTGATTGGCCCACATGTTGATCGTTATTTACGTCCTTACGACCACTTTAAAAATGTTAAAACCATTCGTGCACTCTGCTACGGGATAGGCAATCATCGCCATAAACTTGTTTCACCTATTGAAATGTTTCTTTAAAAGTTTTACCAATTTAAAAACAAAGTTTAATGATCTCTTTATTCGAAGCTCATTTTCGCACCGATAAAACAAACATACTGGCACTAAAAACGCAATAACTTCACTTCTAATACATAAAATGTCATGAAATTCTCACTTAACAATCGATAAAGATAGATTCAAAAAGTCCTGTTTACTTTGGAACGCTCCTTGTATGTAGTACATTTTACCACAGAATCAAGCCGCCCAGAATATTTTTTTCTTGTATTTTCAGAGTTGTTCCCTCCAAAGTAGAACTCTCATGATGGAGGACTGCTTATTGATTATTCATATGTAATTTGAAAATTTTTACGCAACCCTTTGAGACTGCTGTTGTATCATAAGCTTGGCTGTATATTTCGACTATAGTATAGTATTATGAAAACTATTACATTTTTGCTCAGAAATTGTCAAAAATAAACTTTCATCATAATAACATTTTAACTAGTGCTTTAAGTACATGTCATCAGGGTGTTAAGAAACTATTATATACCAAATTTTATTGAAATCGGTCGAGTAGTTCCTGAGATATGGTTTTTGGTCCATAAGTGGGYGACGCCACGCCCATTTTCAATTTTTAAAGAAAGCCTGCGTGCAGCTGCTTTCTGATATTTCTTCCGTAAATTTTAGTGTTTCTGACGTTTAGGGGCCGGGACCACGCCCACTTTTCCAAAATAATTACGTCCAAACATGACCCTCCCTAATGCGATCCTTTGTGCCAAATTTCACTTTAATATCTTTATTTATGGCTTAGTTATGACACTTTATAGGTTTTCGGTTTTCGCCATTTTGTGGGCGTGGC